GACGGACTTCAATCTCTGAACTCGTAAAGCTATTTTTTGTTTTCGCTGTCATTTTTCATGAATGAACACTTCCTTGTAGCTGAGGCAGGAAACATAGCCTTATACGGTGTTTTTGGGGTGGTAATTATGCTAATCTCCTCTCGCGTGCACGAGCAGCTGGATAGAACAGGTGGAATTTACGCAGCTCATTTACACACTTTTCCTGAAGATAGAAGAGTTTGTTGAATCTGACGTGGCTTTCTATATCCTTCCCCTAAACCATGACGGTGAACAATCTTTGTTTTCAGCTCATTTGAAAGTTGTTTTGAGACTCCCATGCTGCCACTCTTCAAAGAAGATGCAAAGAGGAGAAAAACTTACTATTGCCCCCCTTAAATAAACTTTCTCATAATTGGAGTCACCTGTGTATGAAGGTCAATGGTCACTGAACTTACCAAACCAAATTTGAGTTCCAATAATTAGTTCTAAAGGTTTTGAAATCAATAAAATGAAAACGGTGCCCAAATTTATGCACCTGCCTAATTTTGTTTAACCAAGTATTGCACACTTTATGTAAATCATATAGACTTAATTTTACTTCTCAAATATCACTGTTTGTCCCCTGTATGATATATTTTACTGAGATTTTTAATCCAAATAATCAATTATTTATAAAGGTAAATCAGGGAAATTAACAAGGGTGCCCAAACTTTTTCATATTACTGTACTTGAGGAAAAAATGTTCAAGAAGCAAAATGACTCAAATACAGTAAATCTTTTCTACTGAACAACACAATGTTTATAATATTTAATAAAAAATCGGAATCTGCTACATTCCTTAGTTCATATCACAGGGGAGAAATTGAAATACTTTCATGAGTTTAGATGTCTTGGAGTCACATTGGACTCAACATTATTCTTTAAAAAACATATTTGAGAAGTGACCAGCACTGTTAAACTGCATAAACTGCAACTTCATAACTATAAAGCTACGTTCACACCGAATGCATTTTGAGCTGCAAAAATGCACCCAGTGCCTCAAGTTGGACGCGCTATGTTCAGACCGAGWCACAGACGCGCGTCTGAAGAAGGAGGAGCATCTTGGTTTTTCTCCTGTCTGTCTTCGGCAGATGAAATAAAGATAAAATAAAGAAAATGTCTTTGCTTTGTTTACTAAAGAGCAAACGAATGTTGCGCACAGCAGATGATCAATTCACCAGATGATTTAGAAGTGGTTTGTTCGGTTAGTTTCACCACTCCAGGGGCCTCATGGTGCATACGCACAAAAACCTCGCTTACGCCGTTTTCCACGCAAAAAGATGTATCAAAATGGAAACGAATGTGGAAATGTGCGCAGCCCCACACCAACTCCAGGGCTGGCATGTTTCTGTGGTTTTGGTTCCATTGACGACACTTAGAGAGGTGATTCTGAGAAACTGTTCATGATGTGAAAATGATTTTTGTTCACACCAGACACACATGATTAACAATTATTTCATCCACYTGGACGTAGTTAGATAAAAGACGCGCAAAATTGTGCCAAAAATACATTTACCAGGACTGGATTCTGCTTTATTGGAGGATATAATAAATAGTGTAACATGCAGAGCATTTATTTATAAACAGAATTTTGTGATCTACAATGATGAGTGGCTCATCAGCCGTTTAGAGGAAAAATCCTTTTTAGTTTGGCACTGATGCGCTCTGGAGCGTGATGGAGGAGCCGTGCGCAGCGCGTGCATGTGCAGCAGCAGTGATCAAACTGGGGTTCCACAGGAGCTTTCCAGAGGGAACTGGTAGACTGATCGGGACTGTGCCAGTCCAGTCCACCCAAAGCCAAATCATGCCRAATGGAATCGTCTCATCCATAATTCTAAAGGCTGAGTTTGGTCGCGCTTTGGAGTGTGCACACCCTCACCGGCAGTGGTGTTTCATACTTGGCGTTTACGTTGTTGTAGATTTCTCCAAAATGACACGTGGAAGTACACTTTACAACTTTTGAAAATGCTGTAAGTAGGAGAGCAAAAGCTTGACAAACAGAATTCGCACAAAGGCTGCAGCGTGCGCAGCTTTTGTGGAGACTCTCCATGTCATGCTATGAGGTGCAGAGACTTGTTTCTTTTTATCAGCTATTAAGTGAACAATGATCTATGTTCTACCAAACATCTAAGTTCTTTTGTGTTTACAGTAATTATGGTAATAAACTTGTGCGTAAAATTAATATTTCCAGGCTCATGGATGCGGTTGCGTGCCACAGCAGCTCCAGCCTCGCGCGCGCTCACTCACACACACACACACACACACACACACACACCGACACACAATCCCTCGTTCTTTGCGTGACAAACATATTTTACTCCTATTCTTACTTAGGATGTTTTTCTCACTCACATTGGGCCTCATGCAAGAACATGTTCGTATTCTTATCCTAAATTTCTCTTACTTTTGTTCGTACAAAGGGTTCATACGAACATGTCACGTCAGATTCAACAAACTCTTCTATCTTCAGGAAACGTGCGTAAATGAGCTGCGTAATTGCCACCCGTTCGTATCCAGCTGCTCGTGCAGAGAGGAGATT